GATATCAAGGTTTGTATCGTAATGAGTGAAGAACAGATCTGATGTAAGGACCAACTTTATTTTCTCAAATGCTTCCTGGCATTTGGTTGTCCATTCCCACTCTTTATTTTTCTCAATGATTCATTAAATAGAGCTCTCAAACTGTGCATTATTGGGACAAAAACGTAGTAATAATTGGCAAGTTCTAAAAAACTTTGAAGAGCCGACATATTTTCTGGTGCTGGCATATTCTTTATTGCCACTGCCATATTTGGGTCGGGACGTCTTCCGTCTTTGTCAATTATTTGCCCCAAGTACTTAATCCTCTTTTAATTTGAATCAGTAATCCTGGATTCTCATGAACACCTACCAGACGTGCGATTTGTGTTCCTCGATGCTCCCGCTTTTCATTAGGACGTCATCGAGATAACTTCTCTCCTCCTAATCTTATAGTAGGCGGAAGAGTCCAACATAGACTCTTTAGAGGGAGGACACCACAACACTAAGAAATAGGAAAATTTCTTTAGAAACAAGGAAAAAGTACTAAACTGTTACGTGATAAATATTCTCTTGTATGGCAGAGAACGCTAGACAATCTCCTCAAAGTTGAAGCAACAGAAATGTGGTTCTATAGAAGCATGCTAATGATAGAATTTTCCATTCTATCTATCTGTAGAATCCTACAACATACAGCAATCGCTATCACTTGGCTTAAAATATTTTTGCCTTTCCTTGCCTTTAAAGGAGTGCCCTTTGCCGTGCTGATATTGCTACATGCCTTACTTCTTGTCTATCTCACACTGAAAATTTTTTCTAAGCTCTTTTTTTTTAATCTCGTTCATCTCTAATAATAATAACAATAATAATATTAAACAAAATGATTGCTGTAATGATTGCTGTAACTCTTCCAATATTTTTCAACACTTAGAGAAGAGCTCGATTTAAGAAAAGAAAAAGAAAAGACAATGTTTGACAATATTCAACATTAATATTTCGACTGTATATCAGTCTTCTTCATGTAATGTTTAAAAATTGTATACAAGTATAAAAATACTAGTCTTTTTACAAACGTGGATTGTCTTAAATAAAACGGTTGTAATGGTAATCAACGTGATAAAAACGAATGAAACGCAAATAAAACGGGGAACAGGTTTATTTTGAAATTTTTCCTTAGTAAACCATTAAGAGCAATTAATGAAATAGTTTATACAAGTATAAAAATATTTTAAAAATCTACCAAAATTTATAAGCCATTGTAAAAAAAAAACATTGCTTGTCTAAGATTAATCCTGATAAAGTAATTGCGGCACTAGGCCGAAATAGGGGAGGGGATTGGTCAAGGTTGGTCATCACTGGCTATCTAATCGGATTCACGACTCATTCATTCGCTACAATATATTCATTCGCCATAAGAATTTATCCATCACCATTCGTTACTTCATATACCAAAAAACCTCACATACCTTGGGCGCCTACTGGGAAAAAAAACATCCCATGAGTTAATAATCCCAATATGTACAATTGTGAAAACGGGTGTACTGGTAATCAGTGCGTCAAAATGACTAAAACGCAGCCAACATGAATGACATGCAAACTGAAACATGATCATCTGGCGAGCGTGCTCATCTTAAATTTTTTCAAATTCAAATAGCTTAGTTAGTAGTTTGCATACTATCCTCATGCGCTTTGTGGGTCGCAAAGTTGGTAGATTGCGGATATTTTTCAAAAATAATTTCGACGAAATTACAGCCGTTTGTAATGAAATCTTCCGCAAGATCCGTTGATGTCACATTGTTCGATGATGTGCGACACAACAATGTGACATCAAGCTCATTTTCATTCATTTTGACACGTTGATTACCATTACATCCGTTTTCTCAAGATAAGCGACGCTTATAAGTTTTTGTCGATTTTTTCATATTTTTGTACTTTACGCAATTTTTAAACAAAATTTTAAGACATACTGTTGAAATATTCTTAAACGTTGTCAAACAATATGTCTTTTCTTTTCTCTTTCCTTTCTTAAATTTCGCTCTTTACTAAGTTTTAATAATAATAATAATAATAACAAGAAGAAGAAGAAGAAGAAGAAGAAAAGAATTTCTAGTACATAGATATGGCATTCCCGTCTTATGAGAACATCTCAGTAAAAGAATTTGACAAACGAATATTAGGTTGTTACATAAATTCCTTTGTTTTTATTTTTTTTTAATGCTAATTATTTATTATTCTCCTTCATTGTTTACAACTACCTGCCAACAATCAACTAACTGTTCAATGCCTCAACGATAGAAAGTTCTAAGTTTTGACTCGAAAATTTATCAAAAACCCTTTTATCCTCTACATCGTTGTTGAGTGAAACACCCCTCAAATTATAAGAAGCGATCAAAAAGTTGGTAGTCTGAAGGGACTAAAACATGAGAATATGATGAATGTGGCGGAACTTCCCAAACAAGCTCATTGCATATTTGGTTATGTTAGTGACGTGAGGGTGAGTCTTGTCATATTAAATAATCGCATTGTACCTCTGGCCAGATTATTTCAGCTGAATTGCTTCTTTAGGCCTGTACATTTGTTCAACATACGGTTCAGCATTGCTCTTCTGGTTGTTTTAAACCATTTCATCTCCGTACACAAATATCTCGAACAGCTATGCCAGCTTTGTAACCTAGATTAAAAGCAAAGAACATGCTCAGTCTTGTCTACTTGGTATTTCATCTGAAAGGGGTCTCTAATCTGAAATAAAATTTCAATAACTTTAGACAGCTGTTTCACGGGATGACCAGAGTTACTAAGAAGCAAAACAGGTCACGAAAGATTATCCTTTGAGATCATTTGCCGAACATCAGAAAAAATGAACGAATGTATGTAACAATCTAATATCAATGACTGAGTAGAAGAATGAATAGAAATTAGTAAATCATAAATTGTACAAAAACAGAATGTATGGTCATTAGCAAAAAGGGCAGCCGAAGATGCAATCTACAAATGGGGGATGTCAGAAGAAAGTAATTACAGAAATTTAACTATCTGGGAAGTGACTATGGAAAATATGACACAGAAATTTGAAGTTACATGGTAATGACGAAAATCTAATCTGATCTGAAAATAAAATTTCAGTAACGTTAGACAAATGACAGAATGGCCAGTATTACTAAGAAGCAAAACCGGCTACGAAAGATTATTCAGAAAAGAACGAACGAATATACGTGACAACCAAATATTAGGATCTAGAAATCAGAATTAAAAGTATCTAGGATTTATGTCCTACTTAGAAAATGGCTGCCATATATGGTCTGGTACCCTCACTATTTACCTTGAGCTCCTTGATAAAATCCAAAGAAGAATCAGTAATATTACTAGTCCTGATCTGGCGACTCGGCTTCAGTCACTTTTCCACCGTCGTAAAGTTGTTCCACTTAGTCTTTTCTATACTGTATCTATCGTTAAGTTGGTTCACTGTATCGGGCAAGACAATTTTTCTCTCTAGAATCTATCTTACATATCTATAAGTCTACCATTCGTCCATGTTCAGAATATTGTTGCTACATATGATCCGCTGCCCCCGCTATTTACCTTGAGTTCCTTGTGTTTCCCACCGCCGTAAATTTGCCTCCCTGTGCCTTTTCTATAAATACTTTCACGGTAATTGTGCGAACGAGCTCTTCGCTATTTATTAATTGTTGTTTTATTCCCCTCTCGCCCCCACAGACATCGAATTGTAAATATGGGGACTAGTTAGTACTTTCATAGAGACAAAGAGGTATTATGGTGGTTGTAGTTAGAAAGGTACGTATGAATGTGTTGTTTTGGTGTAAGGAATATTGTTTCGTACGATTGGGTCAGTGTTTGCGGCTAGCTAAGTTATAGTTAAGACAGAAGAAGACCGTCCTTTCCCCAATCCCCTTTTCGGCCTTGTGCCACATTTCTGTATTGTACAGAATAAATATTGCTCTTCGCTATTTATTTAGTTTCTTGTAAATAGCTTTGTTCATTTCTGTAAATACTCTTTAGGATTAGATTTTAAATTGTTTTTCCCCTCCCCCCACCAGACAATGAATTGTACATATGGGAACTAGTTATGACTTCATGGAAATTCTGTGGTATTACCTTGAATGAAATGACAATGGTAATAAGAATTTGTTGTTTTGGTGTGAGGAATATTGTGGTATGTTTGAGTCAGTGTTTGTGGCTAGCTAAGTTTAATGTTAAGGCAGAAAAAGACTGTCCTTTCCCCATTCCTCATTTTGGCCTAGTGCCACATTTTGTAATTTTACAAATAAATAATGCTTTCCGCTATTTCACCTGGAGTTTTTTTTTTTTTTTTTAATTTAAGTGTAATACAAGCCTGGCGTCGAGATCTCATCAATTTACAGCTGATCTGGCTATATGTCACCGTAAATTCTATGCTAATAGTTTCTTCTCTCGCTTATGGAACTTCTTTCCGGCTCCATGCTTTCCAGCCAACTTTAATCTGCAGAAGTTTAAACGCAATGTCAATCGCTATCTAGTGTCCTTCGAATTACTTTTTCCTCTTCCCGCTCATTAGTAATGGTCCTGTTCTTAATCCTTCCCCACCCTGTAACCCCGTTTGTCATAATGGCTTTATTGCTTTGCATGATTAAATAATTGAGTGATTAAATAAATTACAAAACTGCTACTCTAGAAAACCTCTCACTATCTGAGATTTAAATGATTGCATAATTCATATATTCAGAAAAACTTTATTAATGCTCAATAATTCATTTTTATCGCATGGCTCTTGTAAAAACTCAGTAAAAATTTGCATGAAAGAGTAAATACGGACAACTAAGAAAATAACAATTTCTAATTTCAAAATGTTTAAAAAAAAAGAGAGAAAATATCCCGCAATCCTTATTGCTATTCTCAAAGTGTTGAAAGATTTGAAAAACTAATGAGAAAAGGCTATCAGCGCTTTGGCTGATTTGTTTCTTGCTGCTATTTAGCTCAAAGCGTCTGTATGTTTTTTTTTCTCTCTCTACAGATTATGAAAACAATTGATGCTGTTTGCCAGTGTTGGAATTCAAGAAAGATTATTTAGACAAACGATCAGCCTATTTTCATTTTATTGTCCGTTAATCTGTTTCGTTAGGTCCACCCTTCTCCTCTCTATAGACAAACCGTTTCAAGTATGTCTTGGTTTTCTCTCTCTCTCTCTCTCTCTCTCTCTCTCTCTCTCTCTCTCTCTCTCTCTCAGTTTCTTTCTGTATTCTTTTCGCTTTCTTTTAGTCTGTCGCACTTTTTATTTTTCTGGTTTTTTTTTCATTCTGCATAAATTACTCTTTCTTTTCTCTCTCTCTCTCTCTCTCTCTCTCTATCTGTGTGTGTTTCGTTCTCCTCTTTTTTTTCCTTTTTTTGTTTCCTCACTCTACATATATTGTCATCTCTGTACTTTTATCGAATTTATTCCTTTCCTCCTTTTTTTTTTCTTTTTTGAGTAAATCGCTGTTTTTATTTTTTATTTTTTGTTTCGTTTTTGTTCTTTTGTTTCTCATATTTTTTTTTTTTTTGCATAAACAACCGTATTTTTAGCTCCTGTTGTTTCTTTTTTTCCTTTCTCCTTTTCCTCAGCTGCAAAAATCGATATTTTTTGCTTCTTGGTTATTTCCTCACATTTTGTTACTTTTTCTTTCTTTTTTCTGAATAAATAACCCTTTCTTCATTTTTCTCACATTTTGTTACTTTTTTTTTCCTTTTTTTCTGAATAATTAACTTTTTCTTCATTTTTCTCATATTTTGTTACTTTTTTCGTTTGTCATTTCCTTTTCTACAGAAATCTCCGTTTTTTTTCTTCTTGTTTATTTTCCATTTTTGTTTCTTTTTTCTTCGTTTCTCTCATTAAATAAACATTTCTTTATTTTCTTTCGTTTTTTTTTTCTTTTTCTGCAGAAATTGCCATTTTTTCACGTTTTTTCTTCTTTATTTGTTCCTGTTTTGTTTCTTCTTTCTGAAGAATTATCCCTTTCTCTATTATTCATTTTTTTTTTTTCTTGGTTTGTTTCCTTTTTCTGCATAAATCACTTTTCCTTTATTTATGTTTTTTCCTCCATATTTTCCTTTATTTTAACTTCCGGTATCTCTGCTTCTTATTATTAATTTTTATTCTCCCTCATAACGGAAGAAACCAATCTCCTTATTTTCTTCTTTTTAACCTCCTCTCTCTATTTCTCTGTATTTTCTTTCTTTTTGTTTTTTCCTTTTCTTTTTCATTTTTTCTGTCGATCTTCTCGCTCCTTTTCTTCTTTCATAATTTATATACTTTTCCTTTCTTTTTCTCTTTCTCTATTTCTTTCATTTTTATTTATTTATTTCCTAAATTTTCATTAATTTTGTCAGGCTTTCGTTCTTATTTTTTGGTTTCTTTTTCTTTTTTTTTTCTACCTACTCGCGTCTTTATCTTCTTTTTCCTTCTTGCTCTATTTTTATATTTCTTCTTTCTTACCTTGCCTTTTTCATTCATTTTCTCAGTCTTTCATTCATATTTTATATCCTTTTTTCTTTCATTTCTTTCTTACGATGTTCTCGTTCCTTCACTTAGTATTTCCTTCCTATATATTTTTCTTTTCATTTATTTTTACTCTTTCTTTCTGATTTTATATCATTTTTTCTTTCTTTCTTTTGATCTTCAATTTTCTTTCGTTCTTTCAAAATTCTTATATTTTCTTACATTTCTTTCTTTTTATTTATTTTCCTCGTCTTTCCTTGATTTTTTTGTCCTTTTCTTTCTTCCGCTCTTTCTTTGTTTTCTTCTTTCTTTCGTTCTTTCTTTCTTTCGTTCTTTCTTTCTTTCTTTCTTTCGTTCTTTCGCTATTTCTTTATTTCTTTCGTTCTTTCGCCCTTTCTTTCTTTCCTTCTTTCGTTCGTTCGTTATTTCTTTCTTTCCTTCTTTCTTTCTTTCCTTTTCTTTCTTTATTTTTATTTATTTTTCTTGCCTTACTTTTTATGTCCTTTTCTTTCTTTCTTTCTGTCTTTCTTTCTTTCTTTCTTTCTTTTCGTTCTTTCGCTATTTCTTTATTTCTTTCGTTCTTTCGCCCTTTCTTTCTTTCCTTCTTTCGTTCGTTCGTTATTTCTTTCTTTCCTTCTTTCTTTCTTTCCTTTTCTTTCTTTATTTTTCTTTATTTTTCTTTCCTTACTTTTTATGTCCTTTTCTTTCTTTCTGTCTTTCTTTCTTTCTTTCTTTCTTTTCGTTCCTCTTGTTCCTTAATTTATCTTTCCGTCTTTCGTATTTTATACCTCTTTTTTTACTTTCTTTTCTTTCCGTCTGCTTTATTCATTTTCCCTTTCTTTCTTTATACACGTTTCTTTCTTTTTCATTATATCTTATTTTATTTTATTACCTTCTCTTCCTCTCTATTATTGTTTCCTAACATATTTTAAATCTCTTTCCTTTATATTTTAAGTTTCTTTATGTAAATATTTTATTACCTTTATTTGATGTCCTTTATAATTCTATATATTATTTTCCTATCAATTTTCATCTCGTTCACCCACATCTTTTTCAATTCTTCTCGTCACTATCTCTTTATATCCCTAAGCCTTTTCTCTTTACACTTTTATACACTTCTCTTTCTCTATTTTTTTTTTGTTCTTTCTTTTCTTCGTTTTAATTTCCATTATTTTCCCTCTTTAATACAACCAGCAGCTGGCCAATTAGCTTCTATATCCTCCCGCCATTCCTTTCCTCACTAAAACGTCGCAGTAATCTTGAGAAGAGTTTCAGGCGGTATCTTCTTCGCCATTTTGTTATCCTTTTTGTTATTCTTACTACCGTTTTTAGCGTCCTTCCTTCCCGCTTCTTCTACCATAATTATTCTCCCAATTTTAGGTGCATGTCGTTTAAGATATATTTTCCGTAGACAATAGGATTTCAAAAAATGCGTTCTGTCTCCGATAGTAGCAAAGGTAGAAGCAATCTTTGGAAAACAATTCGTGTGACGTCAGAGCCTGCAAAAATACAGAGGCAAGGTTTTGAACATAATACGGAAACCAGAATGACTTCTAAAAATCTTCAAATTGCTCACATTTCACGAAAGGAATATCTATTACAATGCTTTAATTAAACATTTCTTCCTTGTAGGGAGATTTTTCTTCTTTTCTTTTCCTTTCTCTTTCATTTTTTGCTCTGATTTGAAATAGACAAGTCATATACAGACTCAGGGAAATATTTCTTCTTTTTTTTTTTTAGCTATTTTTAATATTAAGTATCTAAACCTTTTAGACAGATAATTTTCTCTGTCTATTTTTAATATAATGATGTTTTCATACGAACTGATGGGTATATTTTTTCCTGTTAATTAGATTTCTTCAAACATTTGTAGAAATTTTAGGACATTTTTTCTCTTTTTTTTTTCACGAAATTACGACCGATTCATTCTATGGTTTTCTTCAGGTATATTTTTTTAAAATGCCATATTTCTTCAAGAACATAGGTGATCATAGTTCTCTACTATTTCCTTTTCCTTATTATTTATGTATGGCTGCTATTCAGCCTATAACTGAATAAAAACGAGATAGGTTCATGCCTTTTCCAAGGTAATCCGTTCCTGCCATATATTCCTCAGCATTTGAAGTTTTACTTGATGGAATATTTCAAGGATGGGAATGTCTCTTCGGTAGAGTACCCAGGTTTCATATAGAAGAGTGGAGAATACAAAACCTCGGTAGTCCATGAGCTTGATGGCTTGTGTTAGCACAAAATGGTGGAAACAGAGGTAAAGCAGCTGTGCCCATATTTATGGGAAACAGAATTTGAACTCGGATCCCCAATTCTACGTTTAGTGTCGATACCAGCTACATACACATGCATCCATTCCAATACATTCTTCTACTATGTGCTGTGTACCTTCAGGACGTTGACGATCAAGGCTCTCCACAATTTCCTCTCTTGTAGTTCTTAATAGGATTTGTCTTTTTGCTATCTAATTCGCTCATGCTCACCAGGTAGGTTACACGTTGCTTTTATCTATCCCTCTTACCTTCAATCTATCCCGTGAGCATCAAAATTTCCAAGCCTTCTTTCCTCATTAGATGCCCTAGAAATTTCGAATGCCTTTTTCTGATATTAAGCATAAGTGTCCATTTTGTTGCCATTGTCTCTAAAATGTCATTCTTCACGTGTTCGGTTCGAGGAATTCTGAACATCCTTCTGTAGAACTACATTTCTGTTGCTTCAAGTCTTTTGTGAGGAGATTTTTCAGCAATCACTGCCATATACTACATAACAGTTCAGTACTCTTTTCTATTGCTTCAAGTCAATTCTTCATCTTCAGGAGATTGTTCAGTATTCACTGATTTAAAAGAGGACAGATATTACGTAACAATTTAGTGCTCTTTTCTTTGTTTCTTTTGCTTCAAGTCTCTTTGAGAAGATTGTCCAACATTCACTGACATATATGAGGACTGGTATTACATAGTTCAGCACCCTTTTCTTTGTTCCTGTTGCTTCAGGTCTCTTCTTCATTTAGGGGGAGATTGTCCAGCATTCACTGCCATATAGGAGGACATATATCACGTAACAGTTCAGTACTCTTTCCTTTTTTTCTGTCGCTTCAAGTCTCTTCTTCATCTTTGAGGAGATTTTCCAATATTCACTAACATATATAAGGACTAATATTACCTAACAGTTCAGTAGACTTTTCTTGTTTCTTTTGCTTCAAGTCTCCTCTTCATTTTGGAGGAGATTGTCCATCATTCCCTGCCATATAGGAGGACTGATATCACGTAACAATTCAGGATTCTTTTCTTTGTTTCTAACGATATTTTTCTGTTTCTTAATACTTTGCTCAGCTTTTGGAAGGCATCTTTTTCTATCCCAACGTTCCTTCGGATGTCCGGTACAGTACTCGTACAAAAGATAACATTATCGTATATTTTTCGGCAGTGAAAAAACAAAAATTGTTGCATACCAAAAGATTAAATGATAAAAAAAAACTCTTGTAAAAAGGTCGTTTTCTTTTAGCAACATGTAGAGTAGAGCTTGTTGCATAATTTTTTAATTTGAAAATTTCTTCACTTAAAATTGTTGGTTAAAAAACGAATTCCATTTCGCATTTCTTCTGAGTAACAAAAGCCTGGACTGACTTAGGCATCTTTAAAACTATCTTTAAAACTTTCTGAGTTTCCATTAGTCTTCTCTGTTTCGAAACAACCACGTTAATCTACAATGGTCTTAGTTTGGCGCCTATGTTGATGCGTGTTGATGCTTACAATTTCATAACTCGCATTCGGCTTTCTGTGTCTGACGCCATAGATTCCCAAGTTGGCATCTACGCGGACGACACTACAATTTACTCCTGCCTCAAAAACAAATCTAGTGTCGCTGACAAAACTAACCTGGCCGCTCGTCTTGAAATGGACCTCCAATCGGTTGTTAATTAGGGGAAGAATTGGCTGGTCAACTTTAACGCCTTAAAAACAAAACTGCTCTCTATTAATCACCATAGAGATCCTTCCCTGCCCCCCCCCCATTAGAATGTCTGATAGTCAACTTCTTAAGAGCAACTCTCTGCGTCTGCTCGGTCTCACGCTGACTGCTGACCTGAGATGGAACAAATACATTGAGTCAATTGCTTCGTCTACCGCGAGGAAAGTTGGCTATCTGGGGCCGCGCCAGGAATTTTTTCTCCACCGGAATCGATACTTCAAATATACAAATCAACCATACGCCCTTGCATGGAGTATTGCTGCCATATATGGACTGGTGCACCTTCTGTTTACCTCGGAGTTCTTGACAAGATCCAGAGGCGGATATGTAATATAATTGGCCCTGATCTGGCGTCTCGTCTACAGTCACTCTCTCACAGACGCGCCGTCGCCTCTCTCTGTCTTTTTTACAAATACTTTCATGGTAATTGCTCCGATGAGCTGCTTTCACTGGTTCCCAGACTTCATGAATTCAAGCGCCCTACGAGGCTGACATCCCGCTCTCACCCTTTCACTGTAGAAACTTTTAAATGTAGCCGTCCCTTCTACTCCAATAGCTTCATGTCTCGCACCTCTCGCCTGTGGAACGCCCTTCCTTATTACTGTTTCCCTGAGAACTATAATCTACAACTATTCAAATGTAATGTCAATCGACATCTCCAGTTACCTTGATCTATCCACTATCCTTCTCCTCATCCTTTCTTCTATCACTCCTATCTGCTCTCGCTCCAAATCTTCTGAAACCCCTTGCATCCTAGTGGCTTACCGCCTTGATCAGGGCGTAATGCTTAAAAAAAATTATTTGAACCTATTGTAAGAGATCATTTAGAATAGTCTATGCTAGGGACATGAATCTACTGTTTTCAAAGTAGGCGTCTAGCAGATGAGTTGATACCTGCCGACACAGGCAATTTTCTAACTCTCCACCGGTTTTCTGTATCTAGTATTCAAGAGAGGATTCAAAACTTTCTCTCTTATAGAGGCTAATTGATTCGGATTCGGCTCATATATATTTTTAAAATATTGTCTACAGGGTACGATGGATAAATTGTCGTGTAAATGACGCAAAAAATGATAATAGTACTGACAGCTTATTTTAACATATATAATTACCAAAATAGCACAAACATATCTTGAAATACTAAAGAGTAAATTTATTCAATAAAATCGCCATTGGCTTCAAACACGGCCTCCAGACTCTTCTGAATGGTCTCCTTGTTTAATTGGTAAATGCTGCCATAATCCTTTGCTGCAGTTGATCTTTGGTGTTACAAGAAGTTTTGCTTGTCTCTCACTAAACTGCTCCCCACACATAATAATCAAGGGGATTTCAGTCTGGGGAGTTAGGTAGTCAGATGTAAAGGGGTGATGTGGTCGCAGAAATGGTCTAACAGGCATGGATATATTTACCCGCTTTTGTGGCATGATGCAGAGTCCTGTTGCCAGACATAGTGTCTTCCAGAAGCCACCCCCTTGACCCAGGGCAGCACTACCTCCTCAAGACACTTGATGTAGGCCTCCGTGCTGAGTCCACTGGCAAGGTGAATGCCGCCATAACGTCGCCATCACTAGTGATCACTCCAAACACCACGATTTTGACTGGATAGATCATCCACCTCCTTCCGGATCCTCTTCACTGTCCTCAGATTGACACCCAAACACTCTGAAATGTTCGCATTTGAACTTCCGGTGCGAATGCCAAGCAGTACAGCATGCTGTTTCCAAATTTCTGGCGGAGTGAATTGCATCATGGCGCTCTTTTTCTCACAGACGGTGCACAACTGTCCCTACTATACTGTGCAGACGACAAATTAAAAAATAATAAACAAGGCGCATGCGCGACATTAAAAATGTAAAATGTCGACAATTTACCCATCGCGCCCTGTATTTTAAACAACTAAACACGTCACATGCCGAATCCCTTATCCTACCCGGATTATCACATGTACTGCAGCCAAAACAGCACTACATGCAACTTAAGCAAAAGCTGATAACGAAGCCCATCCCTCTTCCGGTTGGGTTTGAATTCAAAGATTTGATTCACAAACAATTTAGACGAATTCAAAGCTCCAATTCACCTAGAATGATTATAACCTCAAGGCATGAGAGCCTAGTCTGCCCTGCTATTCCGTGGGGAAAGCGACGGTTTCATGCCTTTTCCTAAATTATTTATGGATGGTTACAT